CATCATTAATGCAAAGATTAGCAGCTTCTGTATTGAATAATGAAGTTTAAGTGTAACAATGGCTCCATAAACATTTTCAATTATTTCCCGAGCAGAGAAAGGGGAGGTGGGATTTGCAGTTTCTTTGTAATACATTCCTCAAATTTTTACACAGTATTTTCAGCTCGGGGCATTTTCGCTGCCTTGTAACTCCCTCATCGACACAATGGGTTAATCCTTCAAAATGCATTTTACTAGAGGGAGGGAATGAAGAGTAACAATGGCTGACCCCATTACCTGGAAAATCTGCAGCGCAGTGTGGCCAATCTACAAATAGATATTTACATGAAAGTCAGTTATCATTGTCTATGGGATCTGTAAAGGAGAACTCCAGGAATTGTTCAAATTAACCCTTGCATCGACAGTTGCACGAGAGAGGAAGGGACCCGGCGGCATACCTTATCCCAGCGGGTGAACGCCCCCTCCTCTCTCCAGGTAGCAAAGATAACTTGCCACAAACTTGGAACTGGTAACAGTGTGTGACATCATCACGCGTGTGTGTGTGATGAAATCGCACGTGAGTGATAACATCACTCTAGAACAGGGGTGACCATTAGGTAGATCGCGGTCGTCTCACTGACGTCCTGTCTTCCCGCGGTGCACGTGCGGCTGAATGTGTCAGACGCAGCAGACGGGAAGGAGCGAGAAGAGGAGACTTGGGAAGCTGCTGCAGTAGAGGTAAGAAAAGACAGACAGGAGAGACACAGCAAAGAAAGGGAGAGAAGAGACAGCAGAGAGAGAGGAGAGAGAGAAGTTCACACCACAAAGTCTGCCTTCCAGAGTGTTCGGCCTCTAGAACGCATTGGAACGCAAGCCGGCCGGCTCGCTGCGTTCAGGGGAGGGGGTGTGGTGTTGCATTGAAGTCAATGGCACCACAGCCACACCCCCCACCCTCGGTGTGATTGCCCGCACCCGGAAAGCAGGCACATTAATGCCTGAGTTCCGGTCCAGCGCGATATGCAAAAATGCAGCTTTTTGCAGATCGCACTGGACCGAAATGCAGGCACTAATGTGCCTCCATTCCTGGTGCGGCGATTGTACTGAGGGCGTGGCTGCGGTGCCATTGACTTCAATGCCCCTCCCGCACCTGAATGCAGGTGTTTTTTCATTGGTAGATCTCATTGAGCTCGTCATTTGAAATGTAGATCTCCAGATGAAAAATTGTGGGCACCATGTCTAGAAGATATGTTGTCCACACACCATTGTGCTTCGGAATGTCCTTTTTATTCATATTTCTTAAGAATGCAACGCTTCAGTACCTTACAGGACCCCTTCGTCAGGCAAAGTGTCGACACTTTGCCTGACGAAGGGGGCCTGTGAGGATCCGAAATGTTGCATTCACATGTCATGCTAAAGGAATACGAATAAAAAGGACATTCCAAAGCACAATGGTGTGTGGACAACATATCTTCTAGATTGTATATTGTGGCGCCATCCTCCAGTTGTTCCAGCACCCGTTGGATTTTGGGGTACATCGGTACGGTGTGTGAAGGGGATATTACAAAGAGTGATGACATCACGGCAGGGTGTCACCCGGTGGCTGTTCTGGGTGACACCATGACACCATGTGTCAGGACACCCTCTGCCCACCAGTATTATATCGTTTGTACAAAACCCTGTCGCTGTCATTGTTACTGAACAGCTTAGTTTGCCAGTGGAGGATAGAAGGTGTGGTAGGGCTGCTAAACACCTTCCCATCTTTGTTATGTCTATAACCTAAAAGGGAGGAGCTCTGCAGTTGACAGAGAGAGCTGGGATCAATGGAACTGATTAGAATGGAGCACAGGAGTGTATAGGAAGGAGTACAGGCTCACTGCATTTCTGACAGGGTCAACAGGTTTTTTCCTTTTTCAGATACAGTATAACAAAACACTTTAATGGGTTCATTTAACAGACCAAATGGGAGCAAATAAGAAACATGATTTAATATTATTATTAATAATAAAAAATAGTAATGACTAATAATTCATGATTTAATTGTCAAAAACTAATTTTATAGTACAGACATTCCTCGGTTACCGACTTACCTGCTGTGCAACAACTCACAATTACGACGGACCGCCGATCGACCTCCGACCTTGCGCGTCAGCGTCAGTGCGACGTGTCGCCGGCGGAAGTGATGTCCTCCGATCTTCACTGCGGGTCCCGGTAAGTATTTTCATTGCCCGATGTACAGTACACTGCTCGGTGCTGTACATCTGCAACGCTATACAGTACTGTAGTAATGCAGTACAGTACTGTATGGAGTTCCTCACTTAACGACCAATCCGTTTAACGACCTGATCATAGGAACGGAACTCGGTCGTTAAGTGAAGAATACCTGTAAAACCAAATCTAATTAAAATGTTATCTTTTTATTTTTGTTCTCTGCCCTGTAACGGGTTTTTTTTTTTTCAAATTCTTTATTTGTGGACAAAAAGGGTGGGGTACATAGAAAAGGAGGACAAGCGGAGGCCACATGGTCTCACACAATATTTGAATCATAGACAGTGAGGAACATA